TACACGCGCCCGGAGAGCGTCCAACACCCAAATCAGGCCAACAGAGAAACAGCCCTAGGGGACCAGCCTGAAGCAAGACCAGGTCTGTCACCTCGCACTGATTTCTCTCCTGCCCAGCCAAACAAGGACATTTTTTCAGTCCTTCCCCAGAACAAGACGGATGGAAACCCATCACCTGGGTGCCAGGTTGTTGGCTAAGCAAGTGCCCTCAAAACACCTCTGAGCCACCCTTGGTCCATGGGAGGCTTTCAAGGTTCAAGAGTCGATAACCCTGAGCCAAGCGGCCGGCGCGGTTGGGTGCTCGCAGCTCGGCTGCCAGCTGGCGTGGAGAGGCGTCGGGAAACCCAGCAATTTCTCGCCCTCTCTCCAGCAAGTGAGGCAGGGCTCCTGCCACCGTATTTTGGGATTTTGAAGGAAGCGGTGTCATCCTTGGAACCGGGATTCCCGATGTCTATTGCTGGCGTGGAGAGGCGTCGGGAAACCCAGCAATTTCTCGCCCTCTCTCCAGCAAGTGAGGCAGGGCTCCTGCCACCGTATTTTGGGATTTTGAAGGAAGCGGTGTCATCCTTGGAACCGGGATTCCCGATGTCTATTCTGAGCTGCCTGCGGGACGCATGTAAAACCCCAAATTCCGCTGTGTTGGACACGCAATTATGTCAAGAATGTGTTTACTGCCGGGCTTGCAGGCATGTCTCAGCTCCTATAAACACACGCCCTGCTGGAGGGGAAGGCAGCGGAGGCCCTGCAGATGTGCCGCTGCCGCACGGCTCCGAAACGTCAGCGGGGCGGGCGATGCACGAGGTGGCAGGAACCAAACCCCGGCACATGCCCGAGCCTGCGTGCCCGAAAACTGCTCCGGGGAGACCGCAGGGTAGGAAGGCGAAGCGATCGGCATCATCTGGTGGGCCAGTGCTGCTGTAATTAGCGCTGGGAGGATTATCTTTAGAAATGAGCTTCTGTTGCCCGCTCTGCAGACCAGCAGGGAGCAGGGAGGTCTTCTTCCCAATGCCTAAAGGATTTCAAGGGGACCGACCGCCCCAAGGCTGGCGTAGCTCAGCGGGTGTACCCCACCACGCGACACGTTGCCTTGGTGATCTCCAAAAACAACCATGACTGGAGTGTTCTGGCAGCCTTCGTCTGGAAACGGGGACAGCCCCCGCTCTCCAAAAGACAAGGCGAGGACTCAGAGGGTGGTGGGATGTCCTCCCGCCCCACCACGACCTCCGGGACCCGTGGAGGCTAAGAATAGCACCCGCCGGAGGGGCTCACCCCCCCGACGGGGCCACAATGGGGGCCCTGTCTGGCCTCGGTGGCTCTGAACGGGGTCCTTCAGCGGGGAGTGTCACACCGCAGGAATTCTCCCACGTCAGGGGGAAAATATGTCTCTTAAGCCAGATGAGGGCCGGCTGCTACAGCGGGAACCGCTGGCTGAGGGGTGCCTCCTCGGCATCGGCCCTCTGATGGCACCCGAGGGTGTCCCCAGAGCCAAGGGTTTGGTGTCACGCCGTACCCATGCCATCCTCCCTTTGCTAGGACAGAAGGTCCCTAGCACCTTCCTACCCAGTGGCTCCGGAGGGGTTTGAAACCAAAATCTGCATGATTTTGCTGCACTTTCGCTGGCGCGGCGATGGTGGTACCACCCGGCTGGGGCAGACGTCATCCCCACTCTCTCTCTCTTGGGACGGTTTCACACCCCCACCCCTCTCAACGGCCTCTGTTTTGTTCTCCTTCTTTCAAACAAGAAGAAAAGAAGAAAAAAAAACGCCGAAAAAAAAGAGCGGCGCACCTATGCTTTTCGCTCTGTGGTTTGTGGTTCCAACCCAACAAAACAATTGGGCACAGCAAAGTCTCCAAAACAGCCCTCGCCTCACTCACGTGCTCGCCCTGCCCAAGCCCCGTTTGATGGCACTGTGGCACCCAAGGTCCCCAATTTTCCCCGCTGCGCTGGGGGACGGCAAAGCTCGTCCCCATCGCTCCCCTGTTAGACCGAGCCCAACCGCCTCCTCCCCAGCTCTTGGCCCAGACTGGGGCAGGGAGTCACGCCACCGCCAAGTCCCAGCGTCACATGGGTGGGAGGGCAGCGGTGGAGGAGCTGGGATGGAAGCATCTCCAAAGTGCAGGCGTGAAGAAAGCGGGGAAAGACCCAGAAAGCATTTTCTTTGGGGAGCCACGTGCTTTTTGGCTGCGCGTAGAGGCAGGAGTGCGGCCAGCTGGGCCTCTCTGGACCAGTCCTGCTTTCCTGATGCATTTCCTCTGGATCGAGGAAGAACGTGCTGGGAGGAACTGGTCTCACTCCCGAAGCATCTGGCAAAGCAAAAGGGTTTCGTGAGCTTCACACCTCCCCCTCAAGGTGGTCCTGCAGGCCTAGAGGTGCCGTGTGACGCTCCGGCTCGTTGCTCAAAGCAGGGACCAAGCCGCAGTGGCTGCTTTGCCATCACCTCCGT